CCTTCGAATCTCTTCATCCAACACTTTCACTCGAAATGGAAGTAAGCCCAACAATTATCTTTTAAACCGGCCATGCTACTTTTGCTCGAGTCTGCGTGTGGACACGTTAACGTGTATAGGCAATACTGGCCCTAAATCAGAGTGACCAAAAGAGGCTAATGTGAGAAAAAGTCCTGACAGAGATTGCGTAAGTCCGTAAGTTAGTACGGTTGAGATAATTACATATCAGATTGTAAGCATGTAAGTCAGGGTACCAAACCACACGTCCTAACCTGTAAGTATAGGGTCATTAAAGTTTAGCCACCGAAGGGAGGGTATCACTAGGGATGCGTAATCAGGTTTGGTTGATGAGCTGAATCTAAAATGTTGGACGAGTGTGAGTGAAGTTGGAACGATCACCGAGCACACAAATTGAGTCGCCTTCTCTTGGTCTATCAATCAAGCATGCGTAGTTCCTACTCTACCTTCCACAACCCTTGCTCACATTCAACGTATTCCATAATCTGTTAATTTCAATAGCTGCTCTTATCTTTCTTTTAACCACAGACGAACTATACTCGGCAATATATGAAGACTAAGATGTTGTAAACCCAGTTTTTCTTCGTATCTATTTATAATTATTTATGTATAAAGACCAAGATGTTATGGCGTCTGTTATGGTCGCAGTCCCTTTCAATTTATAGAAGTAGGTTGGCCTCGTTGTCGCAACTTGGTCTTGTTGTCAGGGCGACTTAGTAGAACGCACCAAGTCCGAAGTCGTCTGCCATGGTAGTTGTCATGATTCCCAGCATCTGACAGTGGAATTGGTACATTTTCAAACGTTTCGCCGGCATCGTAGTCGACATCATCAGTCAGTTTTGCCATTCTCCGCACCAAGCTACGAACTCGTCAAAGAGACATGAGTTGAAAAATGCACCAGGTCAAAAAGAAGTGTGATTGTGTAACCGTTTTCGGCAGAACGTTAGTCGAGGAATTGACTTCACTTGTCTCTTTGACGAGTTCGTAGCTTGTTGCTGAGACTGGCAAAACTGACTGATGATGCCGACTACGATGCTGGCGAAAGGTTTGAGAATGTACCAAGTCCATTGTTAGATGCTGGGAATCATGACAACTACTACGGCAGACGACTTCGGACTAGGTGCGTTCTACATAGTCACCTTGACAACAAGGCCAAGTTGCGAATACGATTTCAACCCACTTCTATAATCAGCAGACCTACTCGTCCAAGACCATTCTATCTCATCTCCAGTCTCTGACTTGTGTTCGGTCACTTCAGACCGTGTGACCCAGCTCCCTCTACAAGCCATTTTGTGTTTGCAAGTCTTTGTCGAACGGGCCTGTATGTCTCATCAACATTCGGTCGACAGCAGGAGGACACAATTTTGTAGCAGCCGGATTTCGATAATGGGTCATACTTCTCTCCAAAATATGGCATGACAGAAGAAAGTATGGGGTTTTTTTCAAACGGGGCCTTTATACCACACTTTTTCATTAATTTGCCTATCTTCTTAAAAAGAAGGCATGACGGCAAAATTAGGGCGTAAAAAAATGTCTCAGCTTAAAGATATGAAGACCAACATGTTGTGGCCTCTGGTATGGAGTGAAATCGGTCAACCGGAAAGATAAGGAGCGGATCCACGAGACAATGAAGGGATCCGGATTGGAGGCCCGAGTCGGATAAGCCGATCGAAAGACAAGGGGTCGCGGTGAATAGCAGGTGTGATGAGGTCACACTAGATTTGCTACATTTTGACGAGTGAAATGTAAACAAGTCGTAAGTTGTGATAGGGCGGCAGTGGGATAAGAGGGCAAAGAGTAGATAGATAGACCGGTACAGAAAGAGGAGTGATAGTGTAATCGTTTTCGGCAGAACGTTTGTCTCTTTGACGAGTGCAGAGAATGACAAAACTCACTAATGATGCCGACTACGATTTCGGCGAAACATTTGAGAATGTACCAACTCCACTGTCTGATGCTGGGAATCATGACAACTATCTGTCAGACAACTTCGGACTAGGTGAGTTCTACTAAGTCGCCCTGACAACAAGACCAAGTTGCAACAACGAGGTCAATCCACATCTATAAATCGAAAGGAGACTGTGACCATACTATTGAAATATTATATATATTTATAAATATATTATATACGATAATATTAATATAATTATATACAGCCTCACGATCCCACTGGAGTTTACTTAACCTCACTTTCATAAAGCAGTTTTCACTCCCAGCGGCTCACAAACCTGAGTAGTACAGCTTATAAGTTCTACATTTAACTATGATTTCTATGTCATCCTTTGTAACCTCTGATCAGTTTGGCACTTCTTTAAGATTCGCCAATAGTTTCGAAACCATGTGATTTGTCATCGCACCTACTTTATGTGAATAAAATCAATCTGTTTCGGTTGGCAGGTTCCGAGAAAGTGGTCCATTTGACGGGCGATAACCACTGGACGGCGGGTCTTTCGTCTTCCCAGTCCATGACGCAGTCCTTCTTCCATTCGCCGGCCGGTCTGCAGCGTTCATTGTCCAGCGCCACTCGGTCCGACCGCGCCGCCTCAGACCAGTCCGAGGCAAGCTCGGCTCCTGGGCCGCTGTCGAGGCCGTCAGGCCCGAGTCTTCAACGCGAGGCGACGTCAAGTCGGCCCGAGGTCTCGATCGCTTTGGCTCTGGGCTCGGCGCGTCGACCACACAACCTTCGTCGTCGCGAGGCCACTGTTGGCGACGATCCCAACCGCTGGTTGGTTGGGCTACATCCGTCCGGCCTCGGCGACACTTTCCACCAGGCCAGGAGTGTCGATGTACAGCCGGCGACGATTGGCTCTCCGATGATGACGCAATCCTTCGTA